ACGTCGCTATGACACTTCTAATCTTACACGGGAGAAAACCCGAATGACCAAAGACTCACATATAAACACCCGTGAAAACCTCAGAAAACATATATATATATATATATATATTGCAGATCAACACATACATTTTCTATAAATGACCCAATTACTTCAACATATTTCCTTCATTTTTATAGATAGGCTACATTGTAGATAAATTTTATGAACCAGATAATCTATACAAAAATATTTGGAAACTTTCCTGTTTCTCTGCTGAAAAAACCCATCAGTCTGCTGTAATGGAATTTTACTTCAGTTTTATTCTTTTCAAATACCACTAGTGTCTATCTGTCTAAGAATTTCAAAATGAATTTTTCACGCTCCTTATTCTAAAGAAATAGAAATATTAGTATGTTGTAGCAGTAGCATCTTAAAGACTAAAGGCATTTCAGCATCTGTTTTCATAGATCACTGCTCCAGTCAATAAAAAAGTTACCAATTATATTTGAACCTTTAAAAAAACAAACCCTTCATAAAAGAGTGAGGGAAACTGAAAAAAATGGTCCCTGCTCCTGTTTTTTTACTATGTGGCTAGATGTACAACCTACAACCACTGGAGGCCAAAATAATACCATAACAATTACAATCGGCAGACTCTAACAAATTGTCAAACTGATATATGGACTTTCCAACTCAGCATTTGAACTCTTCATAAAAGAGAATTGGGTTATATTTAGAATATGGCTTTCCATTTTAATTGTTCCAGGAAATCAATGATATAAATGATTATTTATAATTATAAATTATATATACACACACAATGCAGACACACACACATACATATTTTCTCTCTCTTTCCTGTTTCTCCCTCTCTCCCTCTCTCTCAGAATATGTAAATACTATACATTCTGCAATGCATAAGACTATTATTTTTCCAAAAGTATCTTTGTTCAAACTATGCTTGCTAGTTTAGCTTTTTGTTGTAAAGGTAGCCAGGATAGTACAAGGTTTCTTTTTTCTTTTTTATAGCCTACTTGCTTTGCTTACGTTTACTATTTTCCCATGAGTACTTTAAAGCTATTATCTTAAAGACCTTAATTATACATATCTCAGGGTAACAGTCTTCAGATTACTGATTCCAAAGCAGTCTCTGCAGACAATAGCCGAACCTCCATGAAAAAAAGCTTGAAGGGATTTAAATATGGGAGTCTGCATATGTTGAGAAAAAGATGGACAGCCTTTTTCGTAGCTTTGAAAGAGCGCCCAGCATGAAGGAAACAATGCTGCTCTGTTGAACTTGTCTCAAACAACATTCTTCTGGTTCAGGATGAAATAGTAATTACACCTTTTAGAGTTCTATAAAATACCTGCTAGAACATGTTGTGGACTATAGTGTTAAAATATTTTATTGGAGCATATTTTTATTAAGACTTCGAAACATATTTTATTTCAAGAATTTGTCTGCCTTTTTATTTTCCACTATTTATAGGCCAGGGAAGTGAGATAAGGTGTACATAGCTTCTCTTTAGATAAATCCATTCTCAGAAAAGGTCTTTGTAAGGAAGAAAGGAATTTCCTTATATGGAATATTGTTGAGATGGGAAATGGGTAACTGGACAAGGGAGTGGTATTCTATAGGAGGGGCTAATTGTAAAATATATAAGCTGTGCTGGGTGGAAGGGATCTTTGCAGTCACCCCTCTTACATCTTGTTTTATTGCTTTTGGGTGAAAAATAAAGAACTTAATTCATGCAACTGCCTGGTTTTTTTTTATTCTAGCTCAGAAGCAAACTTGGTAAGGAATAAAAATTCTAACATATCTATGCTTTTCCTTGTAATTCAAATCAACACGTTAGGAATTATTCTTTAAAAAAAATCTTAGTAAAACTTAGAAAAACTAAGAAAAACAATTGTGCCTCCCATCTTGATGCTTACTTGTTGAAGGTAAAAGTGGGGCGTTGTAGTGTGATGATTAATAAAAGACTACTAAATAATATTTGTAATAATTGTACAGCATATAAAGAAAACTGATAACTTAATGATGAATTATTATAATACATGGATCAGTGGCAATTGATATGTGTGTTTGTGTGTAGTAAAATGTTATTATTCTATATTTAGTTTTTATGAATGACTAGATTACTAAACAGAGTCTAGGGATATAGTAATGAATTCTAAAAATTTCTGTTTAGAGAACAGCTCCTCTATTTAGCAATGATAGCATAACACCTTCAAATTATAAGTGTCCCTGATGCTTCTCTAATATTGCTTTGTTTTTAAGAACCCTAATCTTTAGTTTTGTTTTAATTTTTTTACAGCAGACAAATTCAGTTGCACATTCCTTTATATAACTCTTTCCAAGGACTTTCTGTACTTGGTCTCTGAGTAGGACAGTACTCCAAAAAGCTGGAGGTGGGATTGAGAAAGAAATTAAATCTGATCTGACTGCATTTACCCTTAATTTAAATTTAGTTAAAATTATAGTTAATTGCTATATGTCATGACTTTTTCAATTTACTCTTTCTGTTACATTAAAAATTACAATTTGATTACATCTCTTGGAGTTCTTGATGAGTGGCATGGCTCCATGGGAAACCTGCCTAAACTCTGCTTTATACCAGACAGAAGAAATATGTTGGTAAAACAAAGTATATATGATATTCTGGTCCCCTTAAAATTAGTTCAGCCAGGCAAAAATAATTACATGGAGACATGCAATATGGTATTGTCTAAATAATATGCAAACATTGATGCAGATCTAGTCAAAGATGCATAATTAATTAGGATTTGTATTACCAAATATTGAAAATTTCTCATGGGTTCATTGATTTGGAAAATTAGTGAGTCCTCTTAAATGATTTACTAACTTTTAAGGACATTATTTTTGATTTGTTTACCTTTTTTAAAAAAACAAGGCCTGATTGGGTCTTGATATTATGCTCTGATCATTATTCTAAGCTATTACATGGTGAGAACAAAAATGGACAAGTTGGAAAAGGATATTTCGGCCTCATATCACTTTTAGAAATTAGCTGAATCTGAATTTTTTAAAAGTAGAATTTATATGCATACAGACTGAATATATAATTTATTTCCAATCTGCAACACTCACACATGCTCAAATGTAAGCCTATATGGTCCTTTGTGCCTCAATTTATGGTATGAGCACTTTACCTCAAGGTGGTAAATTACAAGCGACTTACAGATTCTGTACCATAGTCAATAATTTCAACCTAACCAATTCATTATTTTCAAATTTTGTCTTCTTCTTTATTGTGTGTAAGACAAAACTAAAGACACATAAACTTTGTCTTGGATCAATATTAGAAAAGATAGCAATACTTGCATGCGAAATGACAAGGATTAACACATCTTGACCGATCTTATCAAATAAAGGTAAATTATAGACAGCAAAAGCAATTTATAGCATGAAACTGGGACATATTTGCTAGGATTGAAGTTAACTGATGGCTTGAATAATGTTAAACTTAATATTGCTGTAGAAATATTTTAATGAGTTTAAATGAGTTTAATGTGACTAGACTTGACTAGATTAAGACTGTTTTTTCAGTGAAGTTTCAACTTTTAAAAAATAACTTTCCATTTCCATTTCTTTATTATTTGAAATTATTTTTGCTCTTCATTTTCACTGTTGCAGTAAACCTAATATGTCATACCATTTTTTTCATCAATGTCTGATCAGTTTCTGCTTCCTCTTAAATTGAAGTGCATACTGTACTGTATGATTCTCTTACAGGCAAGGTTTTTCAATTTAAACTTAGGCAAGGAAGTCGTTTCCCACCATAAGAACTGAGTTCATAATGCTTTGGAGTATTTTACTTCCATATGTTAAATTTTTGAAATGTCTACAATATATCACTTCTTCTAGTTTCACTTTAGAGTGGGGAGATGGTATATCTTAGTAATAAAGCAAAGTTTCCAGGTAAGGCTGAGAAAATATATTGTGCAAAACTCTAGAGAGCTATTGCCAGTAATTGCCGACTATGTTGTAGATGGAAAAATGGACTGATTCAGGTTAATACAGGTTCTTTCCTATAATCTGCCTGCTCTATCAGATTAGATAGGGTAGGCACAATCCAGATCCTTTCCTTTAAATGGTGCCTTCTAATGAAATTTGGAAGATGCCTTCAAGTAAAGTCCATTACAAAAAGCAAATTGAAATTAGAGACGTTTAGACAAGGCATCCTGGGACAATGAACGTAGAATAATATGTGCCTTCTTCATGGAATTTTTCTCTATAGCCTTAACATTTAAACAGTTAGTTGATTTCATTTGTGTTATTAAATCATTAATATAGATTATCAGTAAATAAATCATAGATGAGTGGAAATTTACCATAACATAATTTAGAAGATCTCACAAGTTATTTTATAAGAACAATGCAGCAATTTAGAAAGTTTATTTCTTTTCTATGATTTTCTCTGGAAGATAAAACTTATGAATAACTAACGGCTATTTTAAAAAGTCCCAAACCAATCTCAGGTATTAATTGTTTTAGTTTCAACAAATTGGGTTCAGCCTAGTGGTGGGATTCAGCCAGTTCATACCAGTTCGGCAGAACCGGTAGCTAATTTTTTGTTGCCCAGGCCCAGAATGGATTTCCAGAAGCGGCATCTACACAGAGAACCGGTTGTTCACATATTTGATTCCCACCACTGCTTCAGCCAACTGGATAAAATTATGTTCTTTGGATTTATTTAAAATTCTTTAAATGTTAACAACAAAACAACTGTTTTATGAGTGCCTAGCTCTAACAAAGATATCACCATCCTACCAATTCAGGTACTAGTAAAATTTATATGCAAGGATAAAACATAATTTATTCAATGGCAGAAGGGCACTTAATCTTTCTCCCTTAGATTGTTAAAGAAGCTCCTGTTTCACTGAAACAAAAATCCATCAAAAGACATTATTCATAGATGTCTGAGAATTCTGTTTTCCCATAGTTAAAGGTATTTCATTAATGTCAGTCTTTCCTTTCTTTTTTTCTGTTACAGTTATACAAGCAGAGTGGTTACAAATGGATTGAAAGCCCAAATGAATAATCCAGAGCTGATAGTCAGAGGGTTGGATCCACAGATAGGTCATTTAATTGACAAATTGAAACATTTTAATCAGGTAAGTATTTATGTTTAGAGAACTGACAAGGCTTTGTAAAAGCTTTTCTCATGTGCCTTCTCTACTGACCCTCCTTGCCTTCCTCGTCATCCTTTCCACACACATATACACTGGAAAGAAAACATCTCTCTCCATACTTTACAGAGAGATGAACATTCTAGAAACATGAAAAACAAACAAACATCTTCATTGAGGACCATATATTATACTTGTGAAGGCTGATCACATAACACTTCACACAATTTTGAAGAATGCCTACATCAGTATTATTAAGTTAATACCAAAGATTTTGCCTCCGTATCATTTGAAGTATCACCGGTGACCTCTTTTAGTGGAGAAACACCAGAATATAGCTATATTTTGTATTCAGCCTAATAGGAAATCTTTCCCCGAACTGAACTGAACTGATCTAAAACACACATGTGAGATAATTAAGGTTATCCACATTGACTCTTAGCAATTTTTAAAAGAAGTAAATTTAATTCAGAGTATGTCTACTGATCTGGCAAGATGACATGAAATCGCAGTAAATTCCCATGATGGTCCAAGTGGTGAATGTGCCTCAAATTCCAATAGTTCTGTATTCATAATATAGAGAATTCTATAGAGTTAGACTCTGTTTACAATGTTTACTATGGCACAGTGCAATAAGATTTCAAAATATCCTCCACTAACCATATAGGGTACTATTAAAATAGCTTGTAAAGTTTTCCTGAAAGTATTTTTTTTCTGAACAAAAGATGATCTGCCAGTAGGCATGTCAGACTCATCATGAACTTATGCTGTCAAGTTATTCACTTGAGCTCTGAGAGCTGTGTGCAGCCATCTGCTGAGAACTTTGATCTGTCCCTCGATGCTGAATATATTAAAGTTTGTATTATTATTACATTGCACTAATGTGTAGACACTGTCAGTCCAAATTAGCCAGAACAACTTACCATATTTAACAGAAATTGCTTTTCATTAATGTAAGCATATTTTCTTGTCCAACTTGAGAAGTGTTGTTATGGGTTGATAATGACTGGATAGCATCTCTCCCCAGTTGTTTTTCCTTAGATGGTAGGCAATTTTTGACAGTTGTTACTGGTGGTAATGTTGTTTGTGCTGATTCATGTAAAAAAAAAAATAGAAACAGTGTGTCTCTTATAACTCTTTGCTTTTGCTTTTTATTCTGGGACTTGAGGTTAGAAGTCCTTTATACTGACAAAAACAAATCTCCAATCTGATGCCACCTTGTAAATGTTGTTTATATTTTTTTAATCAAAAGCAATGTGTGATATGGCAAGAAACCCTGCCATACAGAGAGAAAGTCACCCTTACCATCAGTAGGGATGATACATACTCTTAAAAGATAGATGATGAAAAATGAGGTTTTGAAGAAACACCTAAGAACCAAACAATCTTCCTGCACTTCATAAATTAAAATGTTACTTTCTGCTACAATGGAAAGAATATCCCACAATCATTGCTAACAAACATTTCTTATTCAATTTTATACATGGAAGGGGAGACGATATTCTCTTATTCTTTAGCTTAGACAACAAAATGTCTTGGATTAATTTTCGCCACTACTGTAGTGTTGCGGGAAGAAAACATTAAGTATTCCATTAGGCTCAGCCTGCTGGTTGACATCTGTAGCTTTTTAGATCCTGGCCTTCAGCACTAGAACATAACCTGTACTTGAAAAGTAGTAATTTCATAAATAGTATAACATTACATTCTGTCTTCAATTACTCCTCCATCAAGTAAAGGTTTATTCTGTGACTTTGTATTGACCTTTAAGAGAAAACATTCTTTAAGTGATGTTTTTTCCTTAACAAAAACAAGCTCTGTAAAATGTGCTTGATTGCATGAATTAAAGAAAATACTGATTGTTGCCTTAAGCAGGTTTATTGTTAAGCATTACTAATTACTTCTGTCATAATTTTAGTGAGCTTTTATCACAGATAAAATAATTAAAGAAGATTTTACTTTTTTATAATACGTAATAGTTTACGTAGAGATTTGTTTATCTTGGAGTTGGATTAATTAATGAATAAACGCTGACCCTCAAAAGATGAGTAAGTCTGCAATTCTATATGCATGTTTGTTAAATTTAATTGGGCTCATTACTAAATAGGTACATTCAGGATTGCAGTACAAATCATAATATTGCAGTATTATCTTATATATCCTGAATACCTCTTGTATGTATATCCCCTTTAAATATAATAGTTTATGAATAACTATCTTGAATATGCTTCCTTTTCTTCTTTTTAAATCTTGATCATGGCAGTAATTTACAAATTAGAAACTTTCTACTTTAGAGGAAAAATCCTGTCATCTATTTATTAGATCTTTTGAAATAAGTCATACTCACTTTCTGGAACAATACAGGTTGCAAGGGAGAATTGGAGAGAGGGTGCTTCCCTCGCAGCTCCCTTAATAGAAATTTGCCAAGAAAACTGCATAGACATATCCAGTAAATCACTTGGAGTTGAAATCAAAGCATGTTCTATCATTTAATAAGTAAAAGTAAAGGAGTCCCTGCAGATTTTATACCACTAGTCATTGCTGACAATAGGGGACAGTGCTCATCTCTGTTTCAAGGCCATTGAGCCAGTTCTGTCTGAAGACATTTCCATGGTCATTTGGCCAGCATGACATCATGGAGTGCTGTTACTTTCCCACCGAAATGGTACATATGTATCTACTCGCATTTGCATGCTTTCAAACTGCTAGGTTGGCAGGATCTGGGATGAGGTTGGAAACTCAACCCATCATGTAGCGCTCAGGTCTTGAACCTGAGCTGCCAGCTTTCCAGACAACAAGCCCAACTTTTTAACTGCTGAGCTACCACATTGCCACTTACCTCTCAATATATGTAGTTAATATATTTTATTATATCTGCTGAAATAATTTTCATTATTTCCATGATGACAATAAGTTTAAATTATTTAAAACTGTGCTGTCTTTACATGAAAACTAAAAGGTGTGTACTTCCCAGCTCCACATACCAGGGAAATATTTTATGAATTTTGTGTTGAGCCACATTGTGCTCAATTAATGAATTGTTTGATGATAAATATACAATTCAATTGTATTACCATATCAAAAAATACTAAACATAATCCTGAGTATGCTTACTTAAACAGTAGCATACCCAGTGCTTTTTTTGTAAAAAAAAAAAAAAAAAAAAAAAAAAGGTGCCGGAACTCACACATGTCATACAACCCACCTTGCCTACCCTACAAGGTTCCATCCAAAAACGGTGCCGGAACTCCATTCTGGGCATTCTATGACAAAAAAAGCCCTGAGCATACCCAATAAATATGTAGTCTTAAGTGTTTGTCCTGCTTTCAAACACAGTTTCATTCAACATCATCAGAATATCCCAGGTGAATTTAGCTAAGGAAAAGAAATCTACAAACACCATTTTAACATCCTATTCCAAGGTCTAAAAATTAGAAAAATTAGGTTAGCTAGGAAAATGTGTTAATGCTGCTTAGATCCTCAAATCTACCTCAGCTCTAAAAGTAACTTACAAAGCCACCAACATTTTAAAGTATTGTGAAGGAATGTCAAAATGTTCAACATATGTGTCTTACACGTGAGATTTCATAGACTTGGGCAGAAGATCGCCGAGTTGTATCTGATTCAGAAAAGTGTTTATTCCTATCCCCCTGTCATTTTAGTACTATTGAAACAGTTTGTAGTTTTAACTTTTATTATATTGGTCCTTGTTCTTAAGCTGAAAATTGGGTAGGTTGCATTAAAATGTAACTACCGGTAAGTAGTTTTCTCTCATCCCTGTTTTTTGTTTTTCACTTTTATGTAATGTAATATAGAAATTGCCTTATATGAAAAATGATAAAATCATATCATTTTCCCATAGAACCCTGGTTTGTCCTTTCTGATAACTGATTTCTTGGAAATTCAGGTAGAGAGATACCATGAAGTAGAGATGGCAGAATGGCAAATAATTGTCAATCTACCACTGCCTAGCCTTTATTTATTGAGATTTAACTAGATATAGCACCTGTGACTTAGCTTGTTCATAGATAGATTTAAACATATATATTCCAGAAGCAATGATTCAGTTGTTTGGGAAATTTTACATGAAGAGACATACTCAAAGCCCCCAAATTTGCCTGAAGTCAAGTAAGAAAATCAAGGCGGAGATATTGTTTTTCTGCATAAGTAATATTTCTGGAATCTTTGCAATTTCTTAATTTAATATCTGGTATGAAGAGTATTTACTGCCTTCTAGTGTTATCAGTGGGTTTTTGATGTAATTCAAACTACAGATATTCTGTTGTTTTGTAAAAAAATAGCAACTTTAGCTATAATTAAATTAAAGATTATTAACAAGCTTCAGAGTTAAAGGCAGAGGATTGCACCCCTGATACAGATTCTGTAAAATGTCTTATTTAAGCACAAATACATTTTAAGAGAAAAAAAAGAATATTTTTATAAATTCTTCTTGTCTTGTTGTTATGTGTTAGCAAATATATAACCCTTAGAAATTACTTATTATTGTTTTTCTGGGTATACAGGTATCTTTCCTCTTGCAAAACATTTCAAGAATTATTTGCCCAGATGACTTATTGTGTACATTTTATGTGGTCTTTTCTGTGTTATTAATTCTTCATTAGGAAAATGTAATCATAAGCCAGAACATTACACTGAATCGCAGTGACAGAATCAAATAGAAACATATATACTGAATGCATGTTGTAGAAATAATTAAAATTTAAAAAATCATTTTTTCATGTAAAAGGCATTTTCTTTAAGGAATATATACTGTACATCTGTTTAAGTGGAACAAACTCTCAGGTTTTATATATAATTTTATTCCATTTATTTTTTATGCTTTAATGTCTGCTGGAAAAAATGGGTTTGTAGTTGCATATGATTTTTTGCAAATGCTACCAGTGTTAGACAAATACACAATTTTGGCAAATATCTGTTTATTTGAATTCATTTTTACAAAAAATGAATTGTTTTTTGTGTGAATCTTT